CCCCTTTCCTTTATAGATTATGCTCATCCTGCTAAGTTTCCATCTATCGAGAACTTCACCATCGATTATTATTTTCCTCACTGCCTCTCTCAAAGCCTGCTTAGACTTTGGACCTAATGTCTTTATCAGCCTAATTGGGATGCCATCTGGGCCTGTTGATGTACTACTTGGAACTTTTTCTCAGCTCTTTCCCACTTTCGTTGTGAAAATGAAACCATTGCACCACTTGATTCTTCCTTGTCTATTGTGGTGCATAAAGTACTTCTTTGTTGAAATTTTTTCTGTCACCCTTGTTCTTTTATATTCGATAGCTTCGTCCCCTTCTAGGCTAGCAGCTTGGGCTGTAGTTATAAAACTCTGCTCTAGGCTTGTCTCATTTCTTAGGGAGTTTAGATGGTTCCAAAATTTTTAAGCTGCCTTTCTATCTTTTTATGTACTTCTGCCAGCCACTGAGCTCCCTTCTAATCTTTTCATTTATCAGAAGGGATCCATCCCTTCCACAGCTTAGAAAAGTTTTCCATTTTCTTTCAACATCATGGTTGGTTCACCCTGCTGCTTAGCATGTCTGTGTTCCCTAGAGGCTTCCTGACGTCTTGCTATGGTTCTCTTAACTTCCTCATTCCACCAACTTTTGGGTTTGTGTCTTCTTTTCCGGGTTGACTTATGACGTGTCTTAGCAAGCTCTAGCTCAAACAGCCTAATTAATTAGATTTGTGTATGTCCAAACTGTTCTATTATCCTCAGTGATTCCTTTCTCAAATTGTTTAGTAGCTATGTCTATTTCCCTTTCTGAATAAAAATTTTCTTGTAATTTCTACATCTTATCTCCTTCCCACTTTGACTGCTCTTCCTAAACTGAGCTTGATACATTTGTGATCACTACCTAGACTTCTGGAGCCACCTTCATCTATGTGCATTCACCTGAGCATATCATACATCCTATGTGACATCAGTACGTAATCTATCGTCGACTGCAGCCTTCCTACCTCCCGTGTTATTTGGCCTTAACACTTCTCGGTACTGTTGCAAATGATCAAATCAAGCCTTTCACACATATCCATGATCAATTTGCCTGTAGGGTCAGTATACCCATCTATATCTTCTATGTGCGCATTCATGTTTCCTAGTATAATTATCTCGCACTCTCTTCCTAACTCCTGAATGTCCTTTGATTTACACTCTACCATTGCCTGGTTTTCCTCTGGCCTTTGCTCCCGTCCACAAGTACAAGAAACCCAGGAGTGTCATTCGACCTGCCACTTTCCCTTTTAGCCATAAATTTTCCTTGCACTCCTGCTTGACCCTTTGCCAGTCTGTACTTGTTTGAATGAATTTTCCAATACCACCCCCCTTTTTGCTGCCTTCTGTTCTATTACAATATTCCCACGCGTAGTCCGGATTGTTCAGAGGTTGTTCCATGTCCCTGAGATGTGTTTCTACAAAACCGCATACCATCGGCCTCTCTTCCCTTAGCTGTTCTTCTATCTCTTCCCACTTCAGCCTGTTCCTACTACCCTGCATGTTAATATACCCTAGGTCTGAATTGGCTCGGCGCTCGTGGCTACGTATATTTATGCCCCGGACTCTACCTACCTTAGATATTGGTGCCATTTTTTAATCTTATCTGTCCGTACCACCTGTCGAAGAGTCTCTCTGGTTGTTTTCCTCGTTACTAGCTATCCTGCACCCCGAAGGGCTCGCTTGCCTCCCAAAAAAGATACTGCGCGTCCTGCAAGTCGCCAACCCACCTCATGACCTAGGCGCCCATCGAAGTGAATTCTGTCTCGTTTAAAACCACCCCACCTACGCACTTCTCTGTTTATTTTCACAACCTCAAAGCCTTTCTCTCGACTCATCTGTCATGTTTCTTGGTTTGCGTTGACAACCGCTCTTTGCAGATTGCTATCACGCACCGGTACCTCCAGTATCGTGCATATCACTACCTGTTTCTAAGGAGAAGTGGCGCGCATGTCATCGACGCCTTTCGCCAGTGTGGCTGCTAGTCCTGCTGTATCTTCATTTAAGACATCGTTTAAACCGCCTGAAGTTATCCCGAAGTTTCGTCTATCAGCTGTAGTTTTGAGTTTTCCGCTCGCTTGCCTCATGACTACTTCAAGCTTGCGTCCTTGGAACGCCCCTATTGCAACCTTCTTGTCACCTCTTACCCTCTCTTTGATGGCTTCTGTGCATCGATTTAAATTCGAGTCCCCGGCGATTATCACATGCTGTGACTTTTCAGCTGGAGCGTCCTGCACCTGGGGGCTACTTGCACCTGTGATGCCGGCTGCTTTGTCCCCTCCATGCCCCACCACTACCTCGCATAAGCTGGCCTTGCGACAGTTGAACCGGCTAAACCTGTTTTTTCCAAACTTGCTTGCTCTTCCTTTTCCACCGTTCTGGTTGCCGGTTCCATACTGTTCTCTCTGTAGGCCACTTCTTTGTTCAGCTTCGCTAGTGCTTCCTCGGCGGACTTCAGTCTTTCTCCCATTGCCCTCGTTTTCTCTTGCTCTGTCACCAACGCAGTCTCAAGCTCGCTGATTCTCATCAGCAGTTCACTGTGGGCAACCATCATTTTCTCCATTTTTTTCTCGACCTCACATTGCCTACACTTCGCGTCAGCCTCTTCTCCATCCGCTTCTACGCTTGGGTCTACTTTCAAACCCACTCCACATCCTGAACACTTTACAGTCTTTTTAACCATGTCTTTACTCTCCTACAAAGCTCTACTACAAAAATTTGCGTGTTGAATGTACGCGCACCTCCCCTACGGGGTGGCAAAAGAAAAAAACAACAACAAAGAATTCAAACACACACACACACCTGCACTAACTAATAAATACCTGGTGACTAGCCCCCGAAAAAGCCGTACCATAAAATAAGTGCTACGAAGATTTCAACCACTGCCTTATAATTATAAAGACAAGCTCAAAACATGCAAAAACACTTATCTGCGCAGTCGATCCATAGCGCTCAAAAAACACGTCCATCCACCGTGACAGCCCGAACCGACTGGGGTAAGGGTAATGGCGCCACCTGGTGGTGTGTTAAGGCGTTGACAAAATTGCATTTCAACGGAACACACCGAATGGTATGAATGTTTAGAAACGACGCGTTGGAGAAACTAATGGCAGATGCGATGGCCATATTGCCTTGCTGCTCTATGCCAAGAACATGAAAGGACAGGGGTAGATATAGGTCACGTATTTTTAAAAGCGTACAAAACATGTGACTATGGCACAGGGGATAGTGTGCCCAGAATATTTTGTCCTAAACCTAGGTGTGATGGTTTCAATTGTCATTAAAAGAATATTTTTTTTCGTTTTCTGATTGTGAATATTTTTTTCGACGTCTTTTCCGTTTCGTAAATGCGTCACTGAAATCTTAGTCGACCCCGGCATAAAACCCTTCTGTTAAAATACAACCCTCAATGTACACGCTAACGTAAAAGGAAAAGCATGGCGGCAACCTCTTATTGTCAAAGATTGCTGCTGCTGTAGTTGTAATTCAGTACAGCTCGAAATTGATGAGTGGACAGAGTATAAATTGAGAAATTAGTGTACTAGTGGAGTATGCGTAATAATATAAAAGTTGAGTATGTCGAGATTAGTCCGGCAAGATCACACATGAAACATTTTCTTTAGCGAATCTAGACACATGAGAAGCAGCAACTGGGAACTGAAGTAAAAGATTAAGGTCACATGAACCCAGCGCTTTCGTCTTTATTTCCGCAAGCACGCTTGATGTCAGCGTAGTGTCGCTTGCGCGCTCATCACGAGGCCTCAACCACATAAAGAAATCGCATAAACAGTGGTCCCAGACAATGTTGTGAAGTTTTCACTCGCGATAACTATTCTATTATGTAACCTATTCTTCGTGTTTCCTCCGTTCATAACTGTATCACCCTGAGATTCACGCCATATCAAACATAGTGCGCGAAAATATTTAAATCATAACTACAGTAACTAGTATTTTGTTTGTTCAGGGCTGTTTGGGCTGGAAAGTGAGGTCAGAACTAATCACCTGTTTACGTGCAGAGTTTGAATCACTCATTCATTATTCAACTCATTCAGACTCACTATAGTCTGTTCTGGCCATGAGCTTGAGTCCAAGGTAATCCTGTTGAGAAAAAAATGTGTGAGTCCAGGTTTTAGTGAGCCCTGAATGAGAAAGCTTTTTTTAATGTGAAGCATTTCTTATCAAAGTACAGTGACATCGAGCGTATCTATCTATCTATCTATCTATCTATCTATCTATCTATCAATTTATTAAACAATCTCCGACTTTTAGCTCTCCAAGCCGTTTAAATGATGGTATCGATACCGAAACTGGTGTGCGATATCATGACTATATGACGAGCATATATAACTAATCATAACATGAAAACCTTGATAGCTATGTCAGGGATGTCATGATTTAGATTACATGCTTTTGCTGCTCTTGTGGTGGTTTCGTTCACATGACACATTGCAAAACTGGTAGGGTATCACATAACTGCATGACGAAAATCCTAACCTGAAAATCGTGACATGCATATTATGAAAGTCATGATTAAACTTCACGCTCGTGTTGAACTCGCCCTCGTTTCGCTTACTTCACATATACCGAATTTAGTATCACGCCACGTGAGCAGACTACGAAGGTAAATGACACGCCCAGACATGATAATCGTGACATGCGTGTCATATAAAACATGAATACGTGGCATGCTCATAGAGCACTCAGGGCCGTTAAGCTATTTCTACATATACCAAATTTGGTATCAAGTTGTGTGAATAGACAGCGAGGGTAAATGAGACGTCTAAGTATAGCAATGATGGATGGAAGTCGAGTACTGCATAATTTACGTCCGTCTGATAACGTTGGTTTTGTTTGAAAGTGAGATATTGACCTTCCTTGTTAGTACTTCGCATGTCATCGGTTCCCACTGTACGTGAAATCTGCTATTTTTAATGAGTCTGAATGAGCTACAGCTTGTTTTGTCGATCTATGTTTACGTGCAGTGCCAGTCGACAGTGGCAACCTTCCTGACATGTTCACTCGCCGTCCTGAAAGGTCTGGCGATTGACGGTCTCTGGGACTCTTCCCACATCGCCGTCCTCTACGCTGGAGCGCTGGCCGCAGTCAACACTGCCAGTCTCTTTCTCAGTTGCGTATTTGTTTTACATAGCCCGAATAGCCGAAGCACTGCATATGGGAGCAGGGGACAAAAACAAGTAATGCGATTGTGAAGCATTTAAAAATATTCTTGAGAAGTTTAGAAATGCACACATAAATATTGAGTTGACAAAACTAGAAATAGGCACGGTGTGTTACATAACATAAACAAATTTGAAAAGCGAGCGAATTCGTAGTCATCAAGAAATGAGGAATATTGTTGTAATGACACACATGTGAAAATGCACATACATATTGCGGTGCTCTATTTCGTTGCCCACAGAATTGTATACCGCAGGGGTTTAAAACCAATAAAACTAGAAGGCACGATAGGAGGCACGGAAAACTGTATTAGAGCTCATTTCGACAATCGTCTTTTAATACACTAGATTGATATTTTGAACATTTTATACAGAGGCATATGAATTGGCTGGCTTAATATATCGGAAGCTTCCTCGCTGTACGAACGGTCACGCTTCCTCAAGCGGATAAGGTAAAGTGTTAATCATCTATGTTCTGTCATTTGTGCGCGACTATTTTGAAATATTCATGTGCACATAATTAGTGGATTCCATTCATATCGCATTACTTCACGTATATATGCAGGGCGTTTGAAAAATGTGTCTAATATTCTTAGATCAGCAAACTGCTCTTTTTGCTCAATATCTACACAGTCTTTTCTGAGGCCAAAGGCATTTTAGAAGGGTAGACTACGTGATTTGGAATAGTACTTAGTGAACTTACATTTATCACCTTTTCAATTAGCGGAGTCAAGTAGTTAGGTGAACTGGATGAATTGAAGTCCTTGATGTGAAGAACACAATGCTGCTTTGAGATTTTGGAAAACGGGTCTCTTGTAATAACTATGCAGGTTATACACCCACACAAAGGAGTCGGTAGATGGTTGATAAACCACCTCCTCATTTTGGTTTCACTCTGTCGCGTTTCGGTTTTGGTTTCACCAGAGAATTGGGGATAAGTTTAATAATTTGCAGTTATATTACAGATCGTTTTTTTGTAAAATCTCAATGCGGACATCGGCTTTTTGCATAAAGGGCTTAAATTCTGCCTTTTGATCTAACTGTCTGACTAGAGTAGTTAAAAAGCAAATATTTTTATTGCCTAATTACAGTTTCAAATAATATCTTCAACACTCTTAAGATGCCTGCAACGACAGAAAAACCAATTGTGAGGACAGCTAGCAAATAGCGCCTTTTAACGAAATTTTAGGAGCACAACTTAACTGATAAGTTTAACACGTGCATTTGAAAGTGTGAGCTCAGCTTTATATCACTGAACAAATGAAAGAAAAAACGTTGAAGACCAGTAGCGAAAATTTTTTTAGACATATCGCTTCGCAAGGCTGTAAGGCGAAGTCAAAGGCACGACGTAAAGATCCCCCTCACTGCTTTTCAGTACACTCATCTGAGCACAGTAGTTAAGCTAAACAAGGAAATGTCAACAAAGGCTCTCTTTGACCACATTGTTTGCAAATTGAACACTTACGAACATTCATCTACATGCTGCCCTGCGAAATATAGCAAGCTGACGTTCTGTACTCTGAAAGAGCGCTTTTTAGATTCCTGTATGTTTTCTTCACGCAGGCTTCGTGATGTCCACGGTCGTGGTGCTGTCAACAAAGTGCGAGAAAAACCCGGACAACATCGCGCCGGCCATCGCGGCTTCGTTCGGCGACCTGACCACGCTTTTCCTGCTCTCTGGCTACTCGTCTTTAATGCTGTACCATCCGTGTGCGTCTTTGCCACGACCTGCTTGAATGCGAAGCATTTCTTAGCGAAATTCGGTGACTTTGAGGGTATCTATCTATCTATCTATCTATCTATCTATCTATCTATCTATCTATCTATCTATCTATCTTTCTATCTATCTAGCCACCTACGACATTTAGCTCTCCTGGCCGTTTCGAGTATCGATACCAAACTTGGTATGGCATAACATGACTATATGAAGATCATATCTGAATAGTCATAACATGAAAATCATATCATGTGTGTCATGAATATCATGATTTACATTTCATGGTCCTGCAGCTCTTGCGGTGGTTTCGTTCGCATGGCTTCTTGCAAAACTGGTATGGCATGACATGATTCCATGGAAAACACAAGGGACAGGCCCTAACATGAAAACATATGTCTGTCATGTAACAACATGACTAAATACCACGCTCATGATGCCCTCACGGCCTTTTCGCAACCGTTCCGTACACCAAATTTGCTATTACGGTACATGAATGGATGATGAAGGCATGTGACTGGTGCAAACATGATAATAATGAGATGCGCGTCATGTAAAAACATGACTACATGCCAGACTGAAGGCGCCAATACATTTCGACGTGAAGCGGTGAGCGTGCTCTCTGGCGTTCATTTCGTCGCGTCACGCCGGCGTTGCCACGCCAGGCCCTGGTGCTTCCATATACTCGCAGGCACGCGTTGCGTTGTATCGCTTTGGCGCATGTGCGTTTCAGCGTGTTCGGCATCCCTCCGTCACGAAAAGAGGGCGACGCAGTGTTGTCTGAATAACGCATTGGCGCGAAATTCAGCATGCTGCATTTTACACCGGTTGCCGTCGAGCCGCACTGACGGACGCTGATCGCGCCGGTCGCGCCTGGCGTCAGACTATAGAGTGCTCGCGTTTATCTAACGTAGCATCGCTTTGCCAGCGTGCATGTGCATCAATGCTACATTGGAGTATATTGGGCCCTTCATGATGCGCTCGCGGTCGTTTTGGTAGCTCCGCATATACCAAATTTGGCGTTACGTGACGTCAATGAATGACAAATTATATGACTGGTCTAAACATAATAATCCTGACCCGCGTGTCATGTAAGAGCATGACAACATACCACGCTAATAGCGTGCTCGCCACCGTTTCGCTAGCTCCACACATACTAAATTTGGTATCCTGTGAGGTCAATAAATGACGAAAGTAAACGACGCATCCAAACATGATAGTCATGACACGGAAGTCATAGAAGGCATCATTTGCCTTCAACTCGTCACGTTGTGCTGATTTTAAAGTGACATATGAACCTTTCTCATTCATTCTTCGCATTTCATCGATTCCCACTGTACGTGGGGTCTGCCAACTTTTATCAGCATTGTAACGACCAGGTCTTGCTAAAGTAAAGTAAAGCCTGTTGATTTGCGTTCTTGTGCAAGTTACACTGCGCTTGTTCACTGCGCACACGCTTACGTGCTTGCCGCCATGCTTCATTGGTTCGGTTATGTTTCGGGCCCACTTGCTATAAGAATAGTTGATATCGATTGATCACAATGTTTACTATACTGACACCATTGGTGCTGATGGTGCAAGTTGTGGTATTATACGCGTAGGCTTCAGGCACAAGTGCGACCGCTCAATGCTAAGTTTTGCGTTCGTTCAGAACACAAGCTGTGGTTGGTTCGGGTCACTTGACGTTGATAGTATATAATTGAAAGTGCCAGAGCTAGTGGACAAAAAAGTGTTGCAAACAAAGGCCAGCAGTTATTCACTAAAAGCTGTGTGCATTTGTTGCGCATAACTTCAAAAGTCTTGCCGTATCAATATTACTGGTTTTATCTACCTACAGCACAGCTTTCTTTCATCTCTTTTTTTGTGTGCTCTCGTCTGTTCATGCGCGGTTGCACCACGAGGCAGCACTGACTGACCCAACTTCCCACACCTCTGCATACAATATGCGCTTGACGACCATGCGCAGATCTGGCGCCACTGGTGATCGCGTTGTGCCTGCTCCTGCTGCCAATGTGGATAGTTCTGGCCCGACGCAACACCGTCTCCCGGGAAGTGCTGCGCGTCGGGTGGCTGCCAATTATTATTGCACTCACGGTCTCTAGGTAAGCGAGCAGAGAGCGCACCCATAGCTCATTAGGAAAGCGAGTGTTACACTCAAGGCTTTTGCGTTATTTCAGGTGAATTTTCTCCCCATAATTTTCGTCTAAATCAGCTTTCCTTGCTGTTACTGCTGCTGTTCTGTCTACTAACGACATTGTATAGCATTGGCAGCAGGCCCTACTGCGGGGTTCTAGTTGCTGAGGAAATCGGCTGCTGACTGGTAGGTCGTAGGATCGATTGCCGGCTGCGGTGGCCGCATTGTCGGCGAAGGCGAAATTGCTGAAGGCCCAGGTGCTGATATTTCTATGCACGTAAAAGAACCCCAGGTGGTCGACATTTTCTGAGTCCTCCCCTGCAGCGTCTCTAATAATCATATGGTGGTTTAGGGGCTCTAGATACCACCTATCATTGAAGCATTTGCAGCAGTCTCTAGGTTATTTTGTACGAATTCAATTTATTGAATCATTCTATTTTGTTTTGTTCTCTATTTCTTTTAAGGTATTGTATGTAGCAATTTAATGTGTCTTCTACCTGCAATGATGTGGAATTCGATAAAAAGAATTGTTAAAAAACAAATAAACCCTCAAATAACTAAACAAAACGGGTAAACAATAAAACCACAATAAACGAAAGTAAATAAATTTAAAAGCAGTCCTCATTTCAGATATTCAACATTTGCCTTGTCACCTATAATGCTGTCTCGTAAACAAGGATAATTGAATAGAATTTCGTAATTGCAACGTGAGATATTCCAAGAGGCTTTAAGTTTGATTACCCGACAATTTGTAAAGCTCTTCGTATGAAAGCTCCTAAATACAAGTTGCTAGCAACTTTTATTGCCAATGTGTTTTTGCAGCTTCGGTGGGTACATCCTGGATTATGCAGTCTTCGCTTATCCGCCAATCGCCCTGCACCTGTCTTCAGTAAATGGTGAGTTAGGCTATTCAAGCACTAGAATCCGCCCCGTTCTACGTGATGACATTAAACGGTTACTTTCGCAGCCGAGTACGTGCCTGCACCAAAGGTTCGGGGCTTGAATTGATACTCTCCCTCAATTACAACTTGAGAGTGAAGGAATTAAAAAAACAAATAAATGACGCTTTTGTAGTGTCTCTTCTATTTTTACAATATGCCAGCCAGACGTGCCAGATCTAGCCGTTCGTCGCCCTTTCCAGATCTTACCCATCGCCTAGCTTTTGCCTGTGCTATGTGGTTATGGGGGAGATAGCCCATCATCTAGTGCCTCACTACGCAAATCATACCAAGTATTGTTTTGTTTGGTTGTGTACAGATCCGTGGGGCAGTGTCTTACATTCCTGGTGTTCACAATGTTGGTGCTTACGCTGCTTCTGTAAATGCTACCGTGTTCTGCGATAGCATGTCGGTATTCATGGCGCTATGTAAGCAAACAACGGGGAAGCATCACTCCGACACTATTTCATGCACTGACTTTAAGAGCACCATGAGGTGGCATCGGCAAGGCTTTGGGCTACAAACCAAGGAGCAAAAACAAATCTGAAGGAAATATAATGTTCGAGACATAAAGGTGTCCACTACACCTACGAGGGAAAGTCCTTGAACGCACGTGCGGTGCAAGCAGCTCCACATCACGACCATCATCATGCATCACGAACACTCCCCGAACTAAGGTGGACCGATGGCTTCCGTTGAGCAGCGTGCATTCGCACTGGCTCTAAAAGAAATCAAGGAGGCATTGGCTATTCCTTCTTTCATGAATTAGGCTTTTACCTGAAAGGTAAACGTATCTTGACAGAGGTATCTAAACATTTACAGTGCATTTCCACAACGGCGCAGGAATGAAGGCGGCAGCAACAAATTTTAGTTAACGTGAAGAATGGCATGCAACTCGAAACATGCCGCACGCTGCTCAAGCAGAACAGACACACGAAACGGACTTACAACAGGAAAAGTGCCAACTAAGAACTGTAAACCAGCTTCTCACTAATCGCTGGCTGCTCAGACACAAAGGAACGCGCACAAAACGAACGCTCAAGTATACACAGAACCAGTGGGAATCAGCAGCTCTCACAATTGTGACTTCTTAATATTTCAGCAGTGCACCCCTTTCGCAAAGGCGGCCACTGCAGTGACCGAATTGGCATTTGTGCTCTCCGTAACTTTCTCACAAACTAGCTGTGAAACGTTTAAACCACCCGCAACAAGGGCACGCCCACACGAGCAGCAACGTCTTGCAGAAGCGTGCTCACTCATGCGAACCATGGGAACACATTCAGAGGAAGAGCGATGACCTCTAAATTTAAATCTCAAGCGCACCCTTCTCGCTATCTCACCAGTTATATAAAGTAAACGCGCTGAAGTGGCATTGAGCTATGATCACCGTCAACAGAAAATAACGTACATAAAGAGCTCACCATTAGTGCACTGATTAGTGTGCGTTCAGTGGTGGAGTCGCTTCACTCCACAGGCAGCAGAGCTATGTATAGGTGTCATAGGTGTGACTCATGGTGAATGAACAATTTGTCCTTTTCTTTGAATTTTTCTTGGTCATCTGTGCGTGTATATTTCACAACGTATTACCCTCGACAGAAAGACGTGAGTGGAGCGGTGGTGTAACCCGGCGTAAAACATTTTCGTGTAAGAAAGTTTGTTTCGAATCACAATCGAACCAACCATGAAATACTCTGTTTCGTGTGTCTGATGGTTACCGATTGCAGCACTGGGCGGCAACCTGGCGGCCGTCTTTAGCTGCAGCTTGTCCAGTTACATGAACAGGGTGACGCCACTGGGAGACATACCGTTCGGGGAACACGTCTGCGTGGGGCCCCTACAGATGTACTACCAGGGTGGGGAGATGGCCAACGTGGCCTACGTGCTCGTCGGCGTCGTGGTGCCCGGCCAGACGCTGTTCGCCGTGCTCTCTAGGATTCTGCGCTTCGGCAAGGTCTCCATGACCATCACCTTCTTCGCAGCCTACTGTGGTGCATCGCTAGGGCAGATGTGTCCCCACCGACCATGTTGCGTAATTGCGAAACGCGAAAAATTCACATATTGTTTTGGCACAGGAGGAAAAAATGAGTATTCCGCTCGCAACCATAAGGGCTACTACGAGCTGCGCTGACAAACACTCCCAAGTGTCGACGCACAAGTACACCCGATATAGCAGACAGGAGGACAACTGCTGCTTTAGTTCAAATCGTTGAGCATTGGACGCCTTATTCGATGGCTACAGCTGTGGTTTCGGTGGGGCCTGGAGGAAGGAAGAAAAAAGAAGGGAGCATCATCACACGAGTGAAGCCCACCGTGTCGGCCAACACATGATCAAAATGTCAGAGCATGCGGTGGGATTTAGTGACTTCGGTGGCGTTTCATTTTTAAACCTCCTGCGTGAGCCGGCTGGTCTGCACCGAACAAAAGGATTTAGAATGAAATCTGCCGTGTGCTATACTCCCCAGTGCGCCGCAGTATCGGCAAGGATCGTTGCGTACTTGATCCTGGCGTGAAATGTCACATGTTGGGCCAATCCCAATTGCTTCAAAACGGGTTGGCTTGCCAAAGCTGGCTCAATTACGTCATCCTTTCTTCTCGTATATGCCATTTAAAATTCTTTCTTTCAGTTAATCAAAGGTAAATTCAAGATCGACACGTCGCACCTTCTATATTTGTCAGGTTATGATACCAGACACAGGAACTCACTAGCTGCAACTGTATTCACGACATGTTCCTAATTCTTTCTTTCCTAGAATTCACTGTAGCCTCGCCGCGGTGGCCTAGTGGCTAAGGTACTCTGCTGCTAACCGGCAGGTCGCGGGATCAAATCCCGGCTGCGGCGGCTGCATTTCCGATGGAGGCAGAATTGTTGTAGGCCCGTTTCCTCAGATTTGGGTACAAGTTAAAGAACCCCAGGTGGTCGAAATTTCCGGAGCCCTCCACTACGGCGTCTCTCATAAGCATAAGGTGGTTTTGGGACGTTAAACCCCACATATCAATCAGTAATTACTGTAGTGCATTGGAACAAATAGCCCGGTAAAAGTTTGACGCAAGGTTAACTCTCGCAATTCGAATCTCACCTTCGGTAGGAAGCAATAATTTTCTCTGGCTGGAATAATTTTGTATGTTTCTTTTTCTCTTTCACCTCGTGCTAACTCGTCTGTTAGAGCGAAAGAATGCTGTGCTAATGCTTATTGCCCTTCAGTTTTGTTCATCAAAGCACACGTGCTAACAAAACCAGTGTTTCCCGTGTTATCTTTTTTAACTTGATGCACCTTTATAATGTACCAAGCTGCCAACATCGTGTACTGGATCACAGTATCAATCAATCAGAAAATAAGTAAATAAATGTACAGATGTATACCTAAATAAATATGTAAATAAAAAAGAAATATTGAACTAGCAAGCCTATGTTCCAATTAAGGAAAAAAAGGACAGATAACTATCACCAAGTGGAACTATAAGCTGCAATAAAACTGAAGCATAGACATGTACCGAATCATTTTTTATTGTATCCGGTGCTGGTTAAATTAAGCCCGGCGAAGAAATGCGCAGCCTAAGCACCAACAATAAGACGTGCTTTCAGAGAGAACCAAACCATGACTTTGAGTCACTTTGGTCCTCCACGAGTCGTCGGCGCCATCTATTTGAGAAACTCGTAATTGCACTCTAGAGCACCAAAAGGTGAATGGTTGCGTCCGCTTTACTGTGTTCGCTGATTGAGTTTTACATAACTACTGCCCATGCGCAGCTGAAGGGGTTTTTTTGCATGACTATATGGGTATATTTTGTGTTCGTAATTTTCAGTTCAGTATTTCTCGCGGTAATGGCCCCTGTAGCTATACATTGACTTTGTTAGTAAATTTCATGTTTACAAACAGTTACTAATGTATTACAGAGAAAGCTATTATGAGAGCACAAGGGCCTTCGTGCCGTGATTTTCCGTCGCTGGGGTCCGTATTCGCAATCGCGCGTTGTGGAGAAAAAGAAACAAGCGAAGTAAACAAAAACTCTGATGCCAGACTGGGATCCGTAACCGGGTCCCCTGCCTGCCAGCCAAGTATTTTACCACTAAGCAACACCGGTGCTTGAAACCTCGTGCGTGAAACTTCGTTTCAGATTAACAGTAGGCAACTTTCATGTCGACAAAAGAATCGCGTTATTATAAGTAATAAAGTGTTCCAGAACAGCAAAAAAACAACCAGGCATCACACAATGCTAATTGCGTTATAACTAAGAACGGCATAGTAAATGCCTTCCTGCCACAAAAGATTGTTATTTATGGCAAAATCGACACCCTACGAGTGTGCTCGTAGCAGTTACACAATGCATAAATAAAAATAAGTCTTCAGAAATTCCGCTCTGACCGCTTTCGCGGTGACAGTGCTGCGCGTTTCGCGCAGGCCTGGTGCTTTCTTTCCTTGAACAAGAAGTCACGGTGAGGTGCTGTAACTGCCCACCGGTCACCGTGGCACTTTAAGCCCAGCCTGAGGCGTGTGCACTAGGGATGGAGGATGTGGGGATTCACTTTAGCCGTCAGTTTATCTCGAGTGAGTTTATTATTATTATTATTAATATTATTATTATTATTATTATATTACTTCATTATTATTATATTCGTTGTTGTTGTTGTTGTTCTTAGGGGGGTTTGGCGTTCAGAAATCATATGAGTGCGAGAAGCGAAGCGGATGCTTCCTAGATAGACGCTTCAACAGACATATTGCATGCAACACTTCACCAGCGGAATAAAAAGAAAGGCGAGACAAACAAAGAAGAATTGTCGCTAGTGACATTCATCCTTTTCATATTCTAAGTATCCGGATCATATACTCTATAAGGTAACCTAGAATTTCTTGATCTAAGCACGTTGTTTTCTAGCCGTTCGAAATTTCCTCGAGGCTCTGCTTATTGTGTTCGGCCTTCACCCTTTAGAGGCCCTTCAGGGAGGTATGTAAAGTAAGAGCTCAGAATTAGGGTGTAGTAGTGCTTATTGAACGCAATGAATACGTAAAAATGCCAACAAGGAGGTACAGAGGTACGTTATGACAAGCATGAGCAAGAGGCTATTTTTAGGCAAACGCTGCTCTCTCTACAATGTATTACGAAATCAACTATTTTTTTAGTGAAGTAGCAATACCTAAAATGCCGCGAGAGCCATGGCGACTCTGGAAGTTTATTGTAATAAAAAGGGTGGCAGGAAATTCTGTGAAAAACACAGGGAAAATTCTTAAGTACAGGCATATTTTGTAAGTTGACGTTATTACTCTATCTCATTCCTACGTCGGAAATACTTCTTGTCTGTCGATATTGTCTATTTTATGGTCAGTACACCAAACTAACTACACTAATCGGCCAACAAGGCGTTTTAGAGACTGTTTAGCCGCTTTTAGTAATAGCAGCTGTCCTAAGTTCCGCCATGGTGGTCTATTAATTATGGTGTTCGCGTGTCATCAGCAGATCTCTGGATCTTATCCCCTCTACATCGGCCCCATTTCCGATGGAGGTGGGAAAGCTATAGGCCCATGTACTTAAATCTAGGCGGACGTTGAAGAAGCACTAGGGATTGGAATTTAAATTAAAAAATTTGAACCCTCTCTGAACGGAACCCTAAAGGGGTGCAAAGCATCAGTGTTGCGCACGGGTGGCGTGACGGGTTGAAAGGCGCTAACGCGGGTGATTTGGTGAGCGCTAGAAGATTCGTTTAAAGCGATGGCTGGCGTCGGTCTGGTCGTTTCTTCAGAGTAGACACGGGCGCTGGACCGGAGCAGGCGCACGTTTCGTCTTGATGATTGCCGCCTTGTTATCGGTGAAGTGCACGCTGAGAGGTTCCTGCAGACATTCTGCGTTGAAGCTGGCAAAGGCCAGATCGATGCGCATTCCTTTTATCGTGGTGGGTGATCTCCGTTCCACTGACACGCACTTCAGTGAGTGCAGATCTAGCATGTAATCTACGAGCCATTCTCGTTCTCCTCCGCTGACTAAAACATTGAAGTCTCCCGCGGCTATAAGAGGTGCACATCGACACGCCTCGCTTCAATGAGTCAGGGTCTCCTCCAGACAGTGCTGAACCTGCTCCTTCGGCAAGTTGGGAGTGACGTACAGAACGAACACAGACACGTCCCCGATGCGCACGGAAACGCACTCGGTCCAGTATAGTGTCTTTGAGAAGGTACTGATTGTTCTTACACGTCGCCTCATGTTCACCCGGCGGAGCCTGGCGCTGGCGGGTGGGTGCTTACGTGGAGGGCGCATGGCACTTTCGAGAAGTTTCCAAACGACGACATCGTCGAGGATTCATCAGCGTTGAAGTTCCGCTCTCGGTGCTTCCACTTGGCTTCTTTTGCTCGCGTCTCGTCGGCGTTGCCTACGCGTTGAAGACGCTTGCGCTTGGCTTTATTGGCTTGCGTCTCGTCGGTGTTACCCGCGCGCTGTCTCCATTCTCGCACTTGCACCTCGTCAGTTTCATTGATCTTCCACTTCCGACGCTTGAATTCGGCTTCCCTGGCCCACGCCTCATCGATGTTCCAGGCGCGACGTCGCTATTGGCGAGCGTGATCAGCTCTGCTAACCCTCGCAATGCCGAACAACGCCCGAGCCTGGCCAAATCACTTCGGCGCATCTTCCGGCGGGCAAAGCAGCTAGCTTTCTGGTGTCCTCTCTATCGCAGATAAACGGGCCGAAAGAGTGTTCACTATACTTGGCGACAACTTTCTGTGGCAGCACAGCCGAGGATACGAAGCCCACGCATGCCCTTTTTTACTACGTTTCTGCTGTAGCGCGCTGTAGTGCCTTTGTTTCGGCTTACTTCGTCAAATAGTCTGTGGCTGCTAAGATCCACTTGTTGCCGGCAGATGTCAGCGGAAAGGGCCCCAGTAAATCTATACTTATTTGATCGAACGGCACACTAGGTGGTTCGATTGCTTGAAGAAGCCCATGGGCTTCATTGGCGGGGATTTTCGGCGTTGACAATCCTGGCAGATTTTCTCATATCCCTTAACGGATGCGTAAAGCTTAGGCCAGTATTACGCTTGTCGAGTGAGAGTTCGAGAGGAACCAAAATGACCAGATGTGGGCTCATCGTTGCAGGCGAGAAGGATGTCGTCACGCATGTCAGTTGGCAAGACAAAAAGA